CGGTTTTACCTTGTCTTGCACAATATTTTTATCCTCACATGGAGGATATATTCCTCACATATGGATTTTTATTAGAAAAATTAACAATAATCCACTCTTTTACATTAATTGCTTTTAATCAATAAAGACATTTCTATTATTTTAATTTCAAACACAAAAGAGTAGTTAAGGATTGAAAAGTTGAAGAAGATCAATAAGAAAAGTGTAAATCTTTTTCTTCTGATATAGCTCTCACTTGGAATACTTCACTCGCTTTATAAGTTGTCTGTTTTTTAAGCTTGTACCCACATTTTTTTCAGCAAAGAAGTTTTATTTTAAAGAAAATAAAAATTATAGAGAAAACTGTTTTACAGACAAAGAAGAAAAAAACAAACGAAAACAAAAAAGCCAAACACCAAAACCCCAAAGCAGCAGAAGAAGCAAGAACAAAAGTAATGCATTGGGAAAAATTTCTATTCTCTTCAGCTGCACAAATGAGGAAGACTGGTTGAATCCTCAGTTAAGTATGAATCATACTGTTTCTGTTAGTTATCATAACTTTTTCTTTGTCAAGTACTATTTCAGTCTGGTCCCTTTCTAGCTTATCGGGGCAGGAAAGCTTTTGCCAACATCAAGAAAGCAGCTGCACACATTAAAAAATCAACTCTCTTGCTTTTCCCATCAAAACAGAGAACTAAACCTATCAGTGCTCACCACTGGACAGAAAACTAATAAAACAGGTGGTCATTTCAAAGCCAGAAAATTCATGTAAGTGGCAATAGTGCCTGTACAGAATATTTTGTGCCATCCATCTGCACCAAGATGCAGCATGTAAGACTATGGAGCCTCTCAGTAACAGGCTTTTAGTAATGAGTCACTTCATTTCTGGCTTAGAGATAGTATTTTGGATGACAAAATATACTTTTTGAAGTAAGCCTTCTGACTAAATATTTTATTTTGCCTTTTCTCAAGGCTTTTGAGTTTACTTTTTAAATACATGGTGCACATTTGGTTTAAGTTGCCAATAAAGTCCTTCAATAGGATAAGATAGTCCGTGTAGTCTTCTATGTCACCTGCAAAGATTTAACATATAAGCTGCTGCTTTGAGCTTCTTCTTAACAAGGTTTCTCATTTCATGTTCTCCTTATTTAACTTGTGGATTTTGTTCAGGTATTAAAAATTGGACCTAAAACTGGGCAGCTGGAAGCTTGGCCAAGGGCGAGTAGATCAGGGAAATGGTGGATGGACAGGAGGAAAGGAACAGAGGGGTCTTGTTGTTTATGTTTGGGCCCTCTGGGGCAGGGTAGGCCTTTATGCCAAGGAATAAGAGGCCAAAGAACATGGTTTTCAAATCAGGCCTGCCCAGGAGAACCCTTACAGTGAATTTAGCAGACATTAAAAGAACTACTACCCTTTCCTGCACAACTTGTGTAAATCAACCTGGTTGATTTCACTCCCTGAAATATGTCAAACCAAATCCTGACTTTAATGTTTCAAAGAAATCTTTCTAGATTAATGCTATAAATAAATTTAGGGATTCAGAGAAAGCTTCATTTAATTTCTCTGATAAACTCAAGTTGCAGGCACATTTCTGCACATGAAAATGCAAAGTTACCAACATATGTTAAATCTAGCATACTTTCTATTATGTGGAATTATCTACTGCAGAGGAAATATCCAGTCTTGCATCCCACATTGGAATATAAATCTAATCATCTGACTAAGACATTTTTATTCAAGTAGGTTAGAAGGCATTTTTTTGTTTTGGTCATGGACGAAATAGCAGAGAGAACAAAATTTGATGTATTAAGTAAAGTTGAATTTGAAAGTCCTATTCATAGACTTTTAGTCTTTTACATTCTTATTCTCCTCTGATAATAACTCATTAAGGACACTGTTCAGATTAGAAAATGAATACATTTCACTTAATTCAATTAATACAGTCATATTAATCTTTGTTACAGTGAAAGCACTCCTATTGAAAGGAGCAGTGACTTTTAGTAGACTATTGGAGTTTCTCCCAGGGATGCATTAAGTAATCTTACTAACTTCTGTAGTGTTCCTCTAAGGACTTAATTAAATGGAAGGGAGTGCCATAAGTGAGGCTGTCTTGATGCAAGTGCTACAGTGAGCTCAGAAAGGAGACAAATAGAAGGAAATCTGCATGGGCTTTTAGTAGAAACTGGTAAAGATTACTTTGATATATTAATGTGACTTGCTCAGCTCAATCCTGACATTCCTTTAATATGCTGGATTTGTTTTACAGAAATGCAATGCACTTATTCTCTCCTTGGAGGAAAAGCAGCTTTATAGGTTAAAATATAAAAAAAACATTCTGACCATTACATATATTATTCAGATTAAAAATATGTGATAAAAAATCCTAAATAACTGTGATTGAGAGTAAGACACCAACCTTCCTGGGAAAATCTAGCTGGCTGATGATGTTTGTTTGATTTTGGCATCATTATTGCCAGTTGATGTTTATTACACCTATTGTGCATTTTGAGGGAAGAATCCTTGGTAAGAAAAAGCAGCTGGAGAGGCTGTCCCCAGTTGCTGAATTGTGCTGCTCTCAGCACCTTGATCTAACATCTCGTATCTGTCCATGGTGCTGGACATGCCAGAAATGTGTATTCCCAAGCCAGAGATCCAATTGTATCCCAGCTGCATCCAAAGCGGTGTGGCCAGCAAGGATGATCAGAGGGATGGAGCACCCCTCCTGTGAGGAAAGGCTGAGAGAATTGGAATTTTTCATCCTGGAGAAGAGATGGCATAGGGATGGCCTGATTGTGGCCTTCCAGTATGTAAAGGGAGCCTAAAAGAAAAACGAGAGGGACTTTATAAGAGAGAATGTAGTGACAGAAAAGAGGGAGTGGCTTCAAACTGAGAGTGGGTTTAGATTAGATTTAAGGAAGAAACTCTTTACTGTGTGGGTGGTGAGGCACTTGAAACTGGCTGTCCTGAGGAGCTGTGGATGCCCCACTCCTGACAGTGTTCAAGACCAGGTTGGATGGGATTCTGAGCATCCTGATTTAGTGAAAAGTGTCCCTGCCCATGGCAGGAGGGTTGGAACTAGGTGATCTTTAAGGTCTTTTTCAACCCAGGCCATTCTGTCTTTATAGGAGCACAGCTACAGAGTTAGGCAGGACAAGGATTTAGTTCACCATTTTTTATGCTGGTATTTATATTGTCCTTTACATGTACTCATTCAGATTTCAGGATTCCTATAAAATTCATGTGGTCTTGCAACAGGCATATTGGATGAAATTAATTTTTTTTTTTTCATGAGGTCATCAGTGGAAGGTTGGATGGGACAGCTGAAAGCCACACTGAGTGGCATAGTTTAACTACAGTGCATGCAAAGACACCAAAAGCACCAGGACTGCTCAGGTTTTCCTCCTCCCTCAGTACCAATGGGATCACTTGGAAGCAGCCACAGAAATGCTCCAGTAGGGAAGTTCAAACAGATGGCTGGTGCAGCTCTGATCCTGCCCTCAGGGTCATTCTGCAGAGCAACACAGACAACATTTGTCATCTGTATTTCTCACTGTGTTATTGGAAATGGAGATTGGTTGCTTGAAGGGTTTTACTTTGAATGTGGCTAATTAATCTCCAACATTGGTTTGGGATTTTCTGTTCCGCATACTTATCTCTGGTCTCTTCCCTGACACATATGAATTCAAATTGCTGTCTCTTGCCAATGTATTTTGGGGGATTTGAGCATTCAGATTTGGAGACTAGAGAGGATTTTGGTTATGCTTCAAGAAGGAAGAAAGATAGACTGGCATATTTCCAGAAAATTGGTAGATGTGCTAAATTGTGTTGAAGCCCCAAAAGCTGTGCACAAGTGTCAATATTCAAGTAAAAAGGCTTTTGTAAAGGTTTTGTTACCCTCCAATAGGCAAAGGCTTCTTTTGAAATTAAATCTATTGAAAACTGCAATATTTTAAGATTTATTTGCATATGCAGGTTGCTCACTGAAGTCCCATTTTATAGAAGTGTTGCATAGAAATTGTGGTTAAGGGAGGATAAAGAAGAATACTTATAGATTATTACTGGTCTTCAATTATGCTGTCAAAATCAGGAAGCATAATTCTTGATTGTAGTGTAGTCTAATGAAACTGATACAGTAACTAAAACCATCAGGGGTAGGGGGAACAGAGCAAAGTTATCTGCCTCAAATCAGATAAGCTGCAATTACTCTAAGTTCTAGCGCCCATGCTGATTTTCTGGTGACTGTTCCATTATTATCCACAGTGCTGGTGATTTGGGACCTGCTTGCCAGACATGTGGGTTTGAACTGAAGGGTGAGGAATTGTCTGTCATGTGTCTGGATTAAAGTGCAGCACGCCTGAAAATGTCCCATTATGCTCTAATTCAAATCAGCAGCAACACAGTTTGCATACAGCAGAAGGGAGGGTTCCCTGTTATTGACAGGGAACCTGACTCACTCAATAATAGTTAAAACTTTGGAAGGGATCAGGATTAGTGTTGCTTATGCTTGGTTCTGTAAGAAAGGGCTTCCCTTGAAAGCTAAAATACATTCTACCCCAAATCAGCATAAACATGTGTTTCAGTATATCATGGATTTAAATTTCATAAAGTGCGTCGTATATTGCTGCATCATATTTGGTGCATAATCAAGCTAGTTTATAAACACCAAAATGTCAGTATTTTTTATTATTATGGGAAAAGATTGTAAATTTATTGAAAAATGTTCTTAGGAATAAAATGTACAGATAATTTCCATGACAAATTAGTACTTAAATTTACAAACTATTGCTTATAAAGTTTAAGAACAGAAAAAACAAATAACTATATTTTTCCACACAAAGCATGTAAAGTGCTCATGAGCATCTTTTGAAATTTATAAGCACTAGGGCAAAATTGTAAAAATTATATATCACTGCTAGTGGTTTTTTACATAATTATTCATTTTTACTTTACATCTTAGTTACAAATGCCCCTTATTATGATAATAAAATCTAGTTTACTTGCTTGTAGACAAATCCTGTTAGATATTAAGAAAATAATTCTGAAATAATTATTACAACTCTTTGTAAACTGAGCCAGTTACAACAGTTTATTAGCTTTCATATTAATCCATGTTTTGAAAATTAAAAGTTTCAAGATTTGTAGGACCAGAACTACATAAAGCTAAATAAATATTTACAACACTTAGAAAGGAAAATCATAAAACAAAGCATTTAAATATCAAGAGTTATATATCCACAAAGAATTTTTTAGTCAAAGAGTGTTATGGAGCAGTGCAGTGTCTCTGAAGTAGAAAACCTGAAGGGCAAGGAAAGGAATTCACTTCAAGTCTTTGTCCTCTTAGACTGAGCTTGGTGATCAGTGCCTCAATCCAGCAGGTACATTCTTGGCTTTGGATATTCAAGCCAGCTCTTTGAGATCATCTTTCTCTTGATCAGAGTCTTGCCACACACTGCCAGCCAAATACAGAAACACATTTCTATGAGGATTTTTTGCTATCTAGTATTTTGAGCCTACCATAAATTTCAGAGAATTTTGGAAAGGAAGTTAGTCAAAGCAATAAAAAAGAATTAAATCTTTCAGAAGCCATTTCCCAACTGATCTTTAGTCAAACAGTTTGTCAACACTTCACAGGAGGATAAAAGTTTTTTTATTTTGTTTTAATCAGGAGTATAATTTCTCCACAGCTGAGTTGTCCGTGGCATTCTCAAACATCATTCAGGTTTGACGTTCATAGGGCTTAATATTAGTCCAAAGTTATTTGTTGTTTGTTTGTTTATTTTTTTTCTTGCCAAGCTTATCAGAACCAGTGACTTATTTGAGATTGAAAATCCAAAAAGCACAATAAACTTTCTAGGAATAATAATGCCTTACTCTTTTTTAATCTAAAAATCTGTAAGCCTTTGAAACATAGTATTCAAAAAGAACTTTGAAGCCAATATGGTAATTCTAATATTTATGAAAAGTCCAGTTTATCTTTAAAACACCCTCATTTCTTCTAAAGTACTTTAGAAAGCGTACCTGTGTAATTTCTAGTGCCAGGTTTCTGCATAGTTACATAGATGTCCTGTAATTAATAAACCCCATGTCTTTGGAGAGCTCTGTCTTCCTATGGGTTGTGCAGCTGGTTTCTGCACTGCTTGCCACAGAAGCTTTTTGATGCTGGTCTACACTTAACTACTTAATGAATACCTACTATCTTGGGAAATTTCCTGAGGAAAGAGGACATATGCTGGTTCCACACTTTTATATTCTAAATCATATCAGCCCTCATAAAGATATCTTAAATCTCTAACACTTGGTTTATTTCAGGGTAAAATAATTTGCCTTTCTGAACCTTTATTTCTAAGCCAGAGCTTCTGCTGCAGCACAAATGGGTCCATCATAGTTGCAAGCAGCTCTCAGTTTGGCATGCACCCAAACCAGAGTGCAAGGCCAACCAGATATTGAGAAGTGAGTGACTGATTCTACCCCATGTAGCTGTCATACAGTGTGTTCTCTGGAGAGATGTCAAATTTGCTAGAGCAGGAATTGTAATAAAAATAGGCTCAGATCATGTCCTGCAGATATAGTGGAAAAAGCCTTGATGCTAAAAGATAAATCTCTATTATATACTAATATATATGTGGGTCACATATATATTAGTATATATGTGATCACATGTAACCCATATATATAAGGGGGAAGAACACTAACTTGTTCTTGCTTAGGTGGAAAGGCCCTCTAATGAAACAGTGATTTCTATTATTGCTCATAACTACCCTATTTAAATTCACAGATAAATGCAGACTTCCAGTTTAAATTATAACCTTTTTGACATGCACAAGAATATGATACTTGTGCTCTAAAATAAAATTCTTGGAGTAAAAAGACTGTGGCACAATTCTTACTCTATTTCTGAGAAACTGGAATGTCTAGGTCTAGTAAAAGATGTAAGTGATATTTAGAGAAAGAATATAGAGACTTTGTTGTCATCCGGTAGATATGCAAAGGATGAAAACTACTGGAAAATCTATACACAACTGTTTTTTCATTAAAAGAGTATTTTAATTCTTCATGCAAGAAATTAATATTTATTTGGTAATAATACATAATTCAGCTGCTCAGCTCTCTTCTAACATCACTCAGGGATAAGTGTCTGATCCAGAAATACTGCCCACCACTCAAACTCATTTTTCATCACAAACGAGTTCTTTCAGAATTATCAGTCAGCCTTACATAATTATCATGCTCTTCACTTTGTGTTTGGTTTGTAAATTGCCTTCCATTTATTCTTCTTTTCAGTCATGAGAATTAAGGAAACTATACTACTGCCTATTTTTGATTCTGGTCCTCAATTACTTTAGCTAGTCCATAAATATTTAGTTAAATTGATTGGATATTTCTTTTTGGTTTTTTTGTGAATACTTTGGTGTCCACAGCTGAGAGAGTCCATATTAGTATGCAAGTTCATGCCCTCTGTGTTGGTAAAGGAAAAATTTGTTTGAATGGGAATACATCATGGTATTTACTTCCATGCTAGATTCCCCCTTGGAGAAATAAAAATATAATTTGGAACTGCACCTTAGAGAACTTGCTTAGCATTGTCAGATAGTAGTATTTAGGAAAAATAATCAATGAACATATACTAAAAAGAATATTAAGATGCTCATTTTCAATTGCTTTTCTTATGAAAATATGAGGAACTTCCTAAATATTATGCCATCAGTAGGGCACCAATACCTTCAATTATAAGCTGAATTAAATGTTTCTCTTTTTTATTAATAAGGTTTACAGATTTACAAATTTACAAATTATACCTTTGTACCCATGTATAAATAAAAATTCACTTCCATGCATATATTTTAGAATTTCTACGCTGTGCTATGTAGCCCACTTATATCTTCATCATTATCATTAGGTACTCATGCTAAGGAACAAATGCCATGCCAAACACCAACTAATTTTAAAATCATTTTATAATAAATTACTTGAAATATTTTGTGGAATGTCCCATTGAAAACATGTTATTCTCTCACACTATTTTTATAAAAAATATGCAAATAAAAAAGATGCATTTTTACTCAGAGATTAGTTCTGCAGCTCCAAGTATTTCCATATTTGAGAAGATAAGCATGAAAAATGGAATGGGTCTGACATGGCTGAAGAGAAAAATACTAACCTCTATTTGAATTCCTGCATCTTCTGCATTTTATTCTTCCTCAGTGAGCACAGTTCTGAAGTTGCCTTCACCAGATACTAGTTCTGGACAAGAGGAATAAGCCAAACATAATTTTATCCTAGGAAAGGACGAAAATAAACTACCAGCATTGTGTTTGATAGAGGGACGATACAGAATACTGCTAAGAAACTTCCTTGACTGACATCCAGCCCTTCAAAGTATCAGTCATTCTAATAGTATAGATCTAATTTAGAATAAAGATGACACAGTTATTTTTTGGTTTGGCATGATATCGGAGCATCTAGTGAGACTGAACATCCTTCTTTTTCTAAGGCAGTTTCAGATCTCCAGTTCAACCTGTATCACCTAGAGAAAACTGTTTTTACAATGCTCTTACAAGTTCTTACTGATACCAGTTTCATGTTATGATCCCAAGACAGGTGTACAGAATAAAATGAGTAATTACATAATACTAATGTAATCAAGATTTGACATCCTAACAAGTGAAAAATCCATCTTAATAATTTTACATTACTTATCCACCAAGTATTGCTACTTCACTATTATATAATAAAGCAAAGGTTTCTCTCTTCTCTTTGATCCTTTCCAATTAGTTGTGATATTTTTTGTACTTCCCAAACCCTTCAACTAGGAAGAGTGTCTCTGTACAGTAATGCCTTTGGACTTACTTTTCAGTCTTGCACACAAAAAAACAAATCCAAAACCAAACCACAGTGGTAACAAACCAGTCATCCATGATTTCTAAGATATTTTTTCGTTATTATTTCCTTTCATTTTTCTCCTCTGCAGCATTTCTACTTTGGTGCCTCTGTCCCCACTTGAAAACTAACATATTTTCACACATTTATAAAACCTATACATTTAAACTTAAAATTCATGGATCAGCTTTAAAGATATGCCCATAAAGTTGTATTTAAAATCATTTGAGAACTTATACTTGCATTTTCTGGTAAAATAACTGCTAAGAAGCAGGATTACATATCATAGAAATAATTGATATATGTCTATGTTAATCCATTTTAGCACGACTTACTCCTCCATAGTTCTAAAGCAATAGATGTGTCTAAGAAGGAAAGGAATTTCATGCATTATATGCAAAACTAATTTCATGCATTTTGCTTCTCCATGCTGCTTGGGAGGAAAAGACAGGGTTACACCTGGAAGGCCAGGTGTTAGAGCAAACCATTTTTTACTGATGACAATTTCATTCTCTGATAGCTCTTACAATGTTTTGTGGAATCTTAATATTAGCCATTAAGCCAATAGACCACATCAGCTAAAAATCTCTTTATTAAACCAAAAGACAGCTTACTTCAAATATTTTTCAGCTAAGTAGTTACAACACAGAGCATTCCCACCCAGACAGGTTTGTAATTGCTGGAGTAATTCAGGTTAGGAGGGACCTTAGGGGCCTCTGGACCAGCCTTCTGCCTTAACCAGGCTCAGCTGTGAGGCCAGGCTGTGTCTGGTTAGGGCTGGAAATCCTCCAGTGATGGAGGCAGCTCAGCTTCCCCTGCACCCTGCTGCTTCTCTGCCTCACTGTCCTCATGGAGAAAGGTTTTCCTCACATGCAGCTTGAACCCCTCTTGTTTCCATCTATGGCACTGTCACAAATCCTTCTGCCATGCCCCACTACAGGGCTCCATCTTCCTGATAAATCCCTGGCAGGTATTAGCATGTTGCTGTTGGATCCCCCTAAGCCTCTCTTCTCCAGGCTGAACATGTTCCAACAAAGCTTTTGCAAATCCATTCTGACTAGCTTCAAAAGAAAGCATCAGGAACAGGCACTAGCTTGCATTATTTATGGTTTTGGTTTTGGTTTTATTTAAGGGTTGTCTGACATGTCCCTCCTTCTGGTTCCTTGTTTTTGCTAGGACTGGTTGAGCTCAACTTTTGGCTGTTGGGTTAACCAGCGTTATATCCTGCTGCAGCATTTATCCTGCAACCTTGAGCACATCTCTTACTAGCTGAGTCATACATCTCATCATCCTTAGTGATAAACATTCCCTCTTCCTAGCAAAGGACAATATCCAAACCAACAGATTATAGTCTTAAAATAATAAAATTAATAAGAGAATAATTTAACAAAACACAGCTATTGTCTGTGACTTTACTTCTAATTTAAGATCTGAGGTAATTCCATCATCAGTGTTTCAGGAACAAGAGGAGGAGAGCAAAAATCAAAAGATGGATTGTCTTTATTGTATCAAGTCTTATGGAACACTTTTTTCCTTTAATTCTGACTGTGTGGGAGGTGGAAAGATGATGGGAAGAGTTCTTTCTCAGACAGATATCCTGTATGTATAACACAGAAAAATATTATACAAACAAAATAATTGCATCCTTCCCAGATGTGCAGGAGTGTAGCCTGACCAGGACAGCAGAAAAGCTTTCATATAAAGTCATCATGTAAGGTGCAAGATGTCACTTTCTGTAGAGCTGTTGCTTCATAACCCTGTATAATATTTGCTAGACAGCCCAGAATCCCCAGGATTAAATTAGGGCTCTAAAATAAGGTTACCAAAATAAAAGCTTTCTCATCAAGAAATACTGTCATAAACAATCCTTCACAACAGAGGTACTGAGAGAGTCACCTGCTCTCTCTCTTGGCAACAGAAAACTGCAGGACAAAACTAATAGTGTTTTCCTAACACAATAAATACTGTATTGGTGCACTACAAAACCAGTTACAGCTTGATGTAAACTTTCTCCCTTATTTTTGTAAGGTTTTGGCAGAGGAATATGATAATAGAAATATCAATATAAGGTAGCTGGGATCTCTCTGGTAACTTTGGCTAAGACACCCCGTGAGGCTCATGTTCCTAATTCCCATAAAAGCAGGAATTGATTCATTCAAGGATGTGAAGAACTGTTGTTGACTAACAAATTATCCACTGCAAACACTGGCAGTGATAAAAACCCATCAAGTTTTTTTTCAAGGTGGTATTACAATATTTTTAAAAAGTAATTGTGTCATTTGGCTGTCTCTTCCTGTTATAAAACCTCTTATTTACCACTTTCAAATTTCAGTCTTTCTTGTGACTTGTCAGAGAATTTTTACTGCTGCTCTGTGGTGAATATATAGGATGAAACTAGGTCACTTCAGTAACCTGGGGCTGTCTTTGCTCTGTCTCAGTGAACACTGTTGGTCCATGGTGAATGAATTATTTCTTTCCTTGACTGACAAGAGGAGAAATTATTTTAGGAAATTTTATGCCCATTTTAGACTGCTAATGTATTAATATGTAAACCACTAAGGCTTTGAAGACTGGATCAGAGCACAGTGGGCACTGCTCACTAAAGACTACCTGGGAGAGCCCCAGAAAGGTCAGACTTTACTCTACATTTGCATAATTTTTATGTGGGCAAAAGCAGACATATCTTGGACCCAGGTACCACAGAGGTGGAGACAACACTTGGGTTCATCTCTCCTGACAACATGCAGCGGTATGACAGCCATCAGGAAGGCAAAAGGAAGCAAATTGAATAAATTTTTAGCCACAATGAGCTCTTTGCCCATGACACCCATGAATAATATTTTATATTCTGCATAGAAGGAATTATGGCACTCTGGGTTACAGAACTGTCTTCATCTGGAAAACAATTATATTGTGTTCCCACAGGACTTCAGCACTGGACTGTAGCCCAAGCCAGCAGTTTAGGAAACAGCCTAATCTGAGACACACATTGATGACAGTGACTGCTGTGAGCAAAAGTAGCCTCTTGCTGTTCTTGACACCGGTTTCCTTCATGAAGCCCCACCTTAGGGTTTCTGTCCTTATTTTCAAAGTGCTTACATTCAGGAGATGCTTGTGGATATCAAAGTTCTCAGCCAGACTTAAAGTAAAACTTTAAGAGAGACTTTTTATCACCATGGCAAAATCCTAATGATCCCTCCAGCCTCCCATGGGAGGAGCAGGCTCTTGGCAGGGACCTGCAGACCTGTGAAAAGGGGAGCCCACATTGGAGCAGGTTTCCTGGCAGGACTTTTGATCCCATGGGGGACACAGAGTGGAGCAGCCTGTCCTTGAAGGACTGCACCCTGTGGAAGAGTGACCCACGTTACTGCAGTTTGAGGAGACTGTTGCCTGTGGGACGGGCTCACACTGGAGCAGTTCATGGACAACTCTCTCCTGTGGCAGGAGACCCATGGGAAGGGGCAGGGGAAGGACTCACACCGTGAGCAGTGGAAATAGCAATGTATGATGAGCTGACCATATCCCCCATTCCCTGTCTCCCTGTGCCACTGAGGGGAAAGGGGCGGGGGGGCATGGTAGAGCTGGGAAGGAGGGAGGGGTGGGGGCAGGTGGTGTTTTTGAGATCCTATTTTACTTCTCATTATCCTGCTCTTATTTTTTTAGTAATGCAATCAGTTCATATCTCTAATTCGAGTCTGTCCTTAACTCATCAACCCTTTGTTATATTTTCTCTCCCCTATTCAGCTGTGGAGGGGAGTGATAGGGTGGCTTTGGTGAGTGCCTGGCATCCAGCCAGCACCAACCCACTACAATGGGCATCCTGTAAATGCCTGTGTGCTATGGATAACAATTCCCAAATGTGATGGCTGTAAAGGCTGAAACAAAGCCCCTGTCTGGTCGTGACTTGCTTACTCCAGCTGGGATTGTCACCAATCCTTTCCAGCACCTCTTGTTTCTAAACAGTAACCAGCAGGTCCATCTGAAATCAGAAACAAGAGGCCAGACAGTGAAAAGAAGAGAATGGAATTTTTTATAAATTCAGGACTGTATCTCTCGCTGAGCTGGGGCATCCCACACAGTTTTAGCACAAACAATTGAAGGCTTCCAAAATTTGTTCTTTGATTGCTCATTTCTGTAGTACACTACAATTTAGTTTGTTCAGTCATTACTAAAGCCATCCACCCACTTACAGCTATTCTTATAGAAAATAGCATCCTTTCCCACTGATGCACATAATTTATATCTTCTGATAATTCTACATCTGATGCATGGAGAGAAGACAATAATAGATAAAGGCTTCAACTTGATTTCTGACATACTGCTGAAAAAAGGAGGCAATGGCTTTAGTTAATGTGTGCATACATTTTGCCTGAATGATAAAAAAGCAAATGGAAAGCTTCAATTGCACTATTCAGTACTGGCAGTAATGTTCTGAGTTTATGAGTGACTGAAATGTTATCGAATGGACATGGATATGCAATCACAGGCATAATGATTTTGCCTGTAAGTAACTTGCAACTTTTAAAAACTAAAAGTTAAAAAGCATGTCAGTCTCTGTAGATGCAGTTAAGAAGCCCAAATTGCAAAATAAAATGTGGCATGAAATAATCTTAACAAATGTATTTTCTTGTTAAAGGGAACATTAGTTTCTATTTGGTATTACTATAAGACTTCAAAAATTATGTGTTACTTATGCAGTTTAATCTGTTTATCAAAATAATGGAGCACATATTTAAAAAATAAAAAAAGCCTTGTGCAAGCATTTGGAATTCAGATGCTTAGAAAAAGAAGGGGGAGACAAACATAGAGTTATAAATCACAGGGGTTTGGAGGCTTGGAATAATTTTCTGTGAACTTCAGGAGGTACCTAGTGACTTTTGCAAAGCAAATTAAAAATTTGAGGAGCTGAGATAAAAAACTTCATTATGAAGCTCTACAATTATGGAATTATATATTATAATGTCTACCTATATCAATGTAGAGTTCTTCTGTGTTCCATATTCAGCTGACACGGCTGAGGATAAAGCAAGCTGTGCCTCCCACCTCTCCACACAGCTGCCTGACCACCAGCTTGTGCCTTGCTTGGGGCTGCTCCTGGGCAGAATAAGGAGGTGTGCCTGACACTGTGCTCACTTGTCAGCTCTGTTGGGCTGACTGCAATTCCTGCAAGCAGCAGGTAGCTCCAGCCAGCCCGAGTTCATGTCTGTAAGTCTGAAGTGTACAGACCCCCTCCTCAGAGCTGCCTTTGGCAACAGGGAGAAAAGGTTCCACTAGAAAATCCTTTGCATCTGTACACGGAAGGATATATTATGTTTACACAGACATCAAGATCCTGTTGTCAATACATATAATCACACAACCTTTGATTTATGCACATTCCATTAAGTAACATCATACACATCCCTTCTGTACCTGACACAGAAAGTTTAATGT